GTTAACCCCCGGTCTTTCACACTAGGAGACTTGGTCCTTAGACGTGTACTGGGCTCGACAAAGAACCCAACGAATGGAAAGCTTAGAGCAAACTGGGAGGGCCCACACAGAATAACCCGAGTAGGGGGCAGTGGGTATTATGAGCTCGAAACCTTGGACCAAAGGGCAATGCCTTACCCCTGGAACACAGCTAACTTTAGAAAGTTCTATTTCTAAGAAGTACTTTTTTTTTATAGAACTCTAAAGTACTTTCGAAAACTTAAGGGTACCCCTTAAGAGACTAATCATTAGCAACTGTATCAATATGAATTGAGGACATTAATACAAATTTCTGAAGATTCACCAACTTATTTCTTTTCCTGTTTATGCATGTCCTACAGTTAAGGCAGAGAGGTAAAAAATCTTGATAGAAGTTATACGTTTAAATCAGGCGCAGCCACCCGATCTAATCCAGGCCCACAACTAGGCATGACGATGTAAGCTAATCTGGGATGGATTCGAGTCCAATCAAATTGGTGGGTCGGTGTGGGGTAGAAACACTCTTAGATGCCCAAGGGGACTAAGAATAACACTACCGTAAACCGAGCTATTTGAAGAAGGGTCGAGCAAATGTCATAACTTCAAGAGTTTAAAAAAAAATTAAGTTATTTTAGGTTCCTACTGAGGAATTGAGCTTTTTGAAGAAGGGCCAAGCAAAGGCCATAACTTCAAGAGTTTAAAAAATTTTCTAAATTATTTTAGGTTCTTACTGAGGAACCGAGCTCTTTGAAGAAGGTCCGAGCAAATACCATAACTTTAAGAGTTTAAAAAATTTTCTAAGTTATTTTTGGTTCCTACTGAGGAACCGAACTCTTTGAAAAAAGGCCGAGCAAGGGCCATAATTTTAAGAGTTTAAAAATTTTCTAAGTTATTTTAGGTTCTACTGAGGAAGCGAGCTCTTTGAAGAAGGGCCGAACAAGGGCCATAATTTCAAGAGTTTAAAATTTTCTAAGTATAAGTCCCTATTGAAGAACCAAACCCTTGAAAAAGGACCGAACAAAGGCCAAAGATTTCAAAAGTCACATTTTTGCCAAACATACAGTAAATTTCAGTAACAGAAAAGCCAAAAAGTGATTTTCATTCGAAGTTCAAAAGATAACACAGATTTTTTAAACATTTACATATGAAGTTGCAAAAAAGAAAATCTTCTAGGTGCTTCAGGGGGATGAAGGTTGAGAAGTGCTCGACAGAGGATGCTTAGAAAAGAGCTCAGAAGAAAAAGGAACCCCCGCTGCAACCAAAGCAGCATGCCAGCCCTTGCTGAAAAAAGTGTCTCGAAGTTGAGGGATCTGCAAGACAAGATCATTTTCCGCCTTCTCGATCCCCTCATCGTAGGCTGAATCTTCCCTCTACTTTGCATCGGCTTTGAATTGATAAAACTCTTCTAGGAGGCTTGTGTAATCCAATTGAGATTGGGAAAGCTCTACGACGGCTTCATGTTCAAACTCCTTTAATTTTTTTCACCTTTGAAGAAAGCTTTTTGTTATCCTCTGTCAGGTTATGATTTTGAGCTTGAAGAGTTGAAACTTCCTCACAAAGTTTGGAGTATTCTTCATCCATCGATTCTTTCTTGGCCAGGGCAGAAGCTCGGGCATGGATAGTGTCCTTCATAGCCTTGTCCTTTTTGGCTATCCTAGCCCCAACCTCATGTACTTTTTGCAGACCCTTGGTTGAAAAACTTATAAAAATTTTGAAAAAAAAAAAAGGAGAAGCTTAAAAGAGCAAGTCTTACCAGGACCATATGTTAAATGACTTGACAAGACACTTCATCATCTGTAAGAACCTCGTTCATAGCCAAGTCCCGAGACAGGATCACTCTCCTGGCAATCTCCACTGCTACATTAAAGTCTTCAATGGCAGAATCCTTTGTAGTGATTTCTCTCATTTTTGTCCTGAGGACAGGTCGAAAAAGAGGGGTGATTGGTCTTGGAGAAGGGCTTGCCTCGGACTCGGCTATCCTTCCCCTTTTCGAGGTTGGGTCCTCGATAAGCTCAAAAATTGAGTAGTCTTGAGGGATAGGAGAATGAACAGAATCAGGGAGATTTAACTCTACTGGAATTGAAGTTTCAATAAACAGAACCTTGCCTGCCTGGTCACTACTAGACACTCTTGCAACCTTCGGAGGAACTAGCTCGACTGGAACCTCAGCAGCAGGCTCATCTAAAACAACAATTGAAGGAACGAAAATGGATGGAACAGGCTTGATAGATGGGGTTGGCTCAATAGTTGATAAAAAGTCCAAAAAATTCTTCACCGTTCTGCGTCTAGTGGTTGCAAGGGAAGACTTTTTCTTAGCTCAGGGAGTCTGTTCCCGAGCAACCTGGATTGCCTCTCGGTCTGCGGCCAGAGTGGTGTTGGGTCTATTCGGCATAGCAATTAAGGAAATATAGGTTGGAATGTATCCGAACAGTGTGTGGACAGCTCAGCAGAACAAGGACTCATTAAAATCCTACACTCTCTTAAGCTTGTCCATATTCACAGAGGACTCAAGAACTCTACCCTTGACAGCTTCTCCTTCACACAGAAGTCTAGAATTAAAAAGGAAAAAAAAAAGAAATGGAAGAGTAAAACACTCAAACACCTGGAGCACCTTCTTCATAAGGACAGTGATAGGAAGGAGTAGCATCAGCAGCATACTCCCAGTTGCCTGAAATGAAGACCACATTATTCTCATGACCCTTGTGAGTCTGGAAGATGGGTTACCAGATATCGTTCCTTCTTCCTTACAACAAGATAGTAATTATCACCAGCACACTTGATGATATAGCAGTATAAAATTTCCCACAAACCAAGGCTCAAACCCAGATGTTTGTTCAAAGCAGACACCCTCATAACTATCCTAAAGAAGTTGGGACAGCATTGGAGGGGGCAAAGCTTAGTAGCAGAAAGAACCCAGAGGAGGAGAGGATCGAGAAGGAAGCGAACTCCACCCTCAGTAATGGCACGAGTTGGAATGGGGATCCTCTCCCTTGTGCCTATCAATGGTTCATCTTTTCCAGCAACCTTTACTTCGACGTCGTCTAGAATATTGTATTTTGCTTTGAAAGCTAGAATCTCAGAAAATGAGAGAGGGGTCATTGAAGAATATGAAGCGCAGAGAGAGACAAGATACAGAGAAAGATTTGGATTTGCAGGCAAAAAGGCAAAGTAATTGAAATACGAAGAGAAATCGTTGATAAAGGGAAGGAATTCTAAAAGGCAATATTTAAATATTGATCATGCCGCCAAGACAAGGGAGATGTCACAAAGTACGTGCAATAGTGACGAGGAGGCAGAAAACGGCTGACAGACAAAAAGCATTTGTCAGACACTTTTTGGGGGCAAATGAAGAGGGTGGCTCCCTTTATTACACGTGTTATGATATTAAATGAGCTCACGTGAGAATTGCAAGACAAGGCACATGAAGAGGGTATGAGTCACTAAGACACCGAATTGGTCAGTAAGCTTGGCAAACAGTGAAATAGCTTGACTCTTACCAAACCGTGTTGTTCAATGAGTCAAGGAATAATGAAAGAGGTCGGCGCCCATTATGACCGAGCTGTTTCAAATAGTAGATGGAAAAATAAAGATTCGCCTATAACTTAAGCATTCAAGATAAGCCAAAGAGCTTGATTCTATGTCAAGGGAACTACCGGAGAGATTTCAACAGTTACCCAAACTGAATCACTAAATGAAAGGAAGGTGTGCCACCTCGAAACGAAAATCACAGAAACCCTAATCAAACAGGGATCTATAAAATGGACAAGGTTCCACTGTGAAAAGTACGCTAAACTTTCCTTGTCTTCTTACAATTGTCTCAGTTTCATTACTGACTTAAGCATCGAAGTGCTTTTGATCGGAACACTTCGATCTTGGACAGTTTGTTCGTTTTGTAAGAAACAAAGATTGAAAGATGAAATTCAGAACTCACTCTTATCATAAACGTTCAATCTTTATTCTTGTAGGAATTATCCTTAAATTTTACCCCTTACAATCTTTATACAAACAACAATATTATCGGGACCAAATTTGAAAAAGTTAATTTTTATGATCATCGGATTAACTATTGGTTCTAACATTAACTGAAGTTCACTATCAATATGATGGTCACAATGGGTTACGTGTTTAAATAAAATCCTCAAACCAGATAAAAATATCATTATTGTTAGGCAAAACACCTGAAATGATTTAACTATCTCTATTACCATTCAAACTCCCATGTCAGGAACTGTAATCACAAACCATATCAACCCATAAAGAGTATTGTTATCACACCATTCTACCCAAGAAACCTGACTCAAGAAGAAAGAATCGAGACTTGTGCAGTAATCGATGGCCAATGCTAATCCATTGGCTGGTACAAGAACAATATCAAACTACAATAGCTACCAACCCAGAATACTCTACTGTGAATGCCGCAAGGATTCATCCACAAACTGATGTCGAAGGCTCACGATTGTTGGAACAAGTTGGAATTGGCACATTCAGCTCGCGCCTCTTCCCAATGTATAAGCAGTAATTACTTCTTTTTCAACACAGATGGCAGTCTTATATGGACTCAATGTGAGGGTTCGTGGAAACTGCTAAACTGTACCTGTTTCCGGTAACAAGAACCTATCTTCCCTGGTAGTTTTCTATTTCATGTCAACCTCCTGTTGCTAACATCTACTTTGGTACAAAGGAGAATGCATCAACAACACATGATCCTACCACCGACAGTAAGCAGGAGGAAGCTCCACCAAAGAATTTCTAGCTTCCAAGACATTCACTATGCTTTCAGGCAGGGAATCTGGGCATGGGTTGCAAAAAAATTCATTTGCAAACCAATGAAAAATTATGCATTACCTCCTTTGGTTTTGATTCAGTTACTATTTACTCATTATATTTTGGATAACTACACATAACCCCTTGTAAATTTGGACCAAAAGGAAACATATTTTCCATCAAAAATCACAAGGGGTTAAAATGATTCATTTACCCTGCATCCAAACATCTCCTATTCCTTATTTTTATAAATTAACCCTTATTCTTTACATGAAACTATTGAAATCTTATTCTTTGACATGCCTCTCCATCACCGTAGAAAATGGATGGTTCCTTTGAAGAAAGAGAAAATAAGCGAAATCAATTATGTTTAAGATGCAGATGTTATTAATAGGATCAGGGCATTATACAACGAATGAATGAGAAGAGGACTACTTAAGTTTCCAGTCCAACAATAAGAGCATCCAAGGATTGACCCAATAATAAACAACTGCAGAAAATTCTCACCAGAGAAATGAGCTGCACTAAAAGCAGCAGAGCTTACGACAACTGCTTGCTGCCATTTCATTGTGGAGGCAAGAGATGTCAACAGAAAACCTCTGTATGCAACTTCTTCCAACAACGGAGTGACAATGCAATAGACAGCAAAGCAGGCAGTTTCAGAGATAGAGCCACTTGATAGAATTTCCTTTAAAGTGGAGTTGTTCACATCCTGCAGACACAAGGGTTTAATAAAGTCAACTGACAAAAAAAGGACAGCACTACACTGATATTTTGTATTGTTCTTGTTTACGCTAACCTAAAAAGGACAGCGTAGTGCATAAGGCTCCCGCTAATGCAAGGTACTACACTACAACAGACTTAGAATTATGTAATTTCTGTTTCCAAGCTTAAAGAGAGTAAGTCATCTTGGGAGTTGAAATCAAGCCTACAATGGTTGTAGAAGAATAGCATTTGAATGTTTGACCATTAATTTTACCCGAAAACTTGACGGATACACTTCAGTTCAAAAGCATAGAGGATTAAGTGCTCACGCCATAAGGTGGTTAGGTGCCACCAAACCACAGGGGAGGAGACTGAGATGCAATTTACCCCAGGAATAATAAACCTAAATTGATATAACACAACAAAGTTTCTTTTTTTCTTCTAATTTTTCCTTCTCTAGGTCAAACAAAAACTCGAAACAATGAAATAGGTGTAATTTTGGTAAAAAGAACATAGATAGAACGTATTCATGTGTGCTTAATCACCAACAATTCAGAACACATCAAACGAATTTAGAAAGCAGTACAAAGACAAGACTGATATCCAATACTTGATATATTTCAATGAATGGAAATGAGTTATAAGCAAAGTCATGAAAAATACATGCTAAGGTATACAAGTGAATAAACTAAAAGGATTTCATGTCTAAAGAATTCTGAAAAGAACATCATATGTTAGTCTTGATACCTCCAAGTTTTATCGACCTATAAGCGTAAAATATATGGACAGGCAACAAAATATGACAATTTAGACTACAAGGCATGGACACTGTTTCAGGATACAAATACAACATGGTACACACAGACAGATACAGCAAACTTTTATTTAACTGAATTGAACATGACAAAACACACCTAATATACGTTTTTGTTAGCACATACAAGTGCATGCGTTGAAAGCTAATTGTCACAGCATACGCACATATGTTATGGGACATAAATTTGAATTAAATAGGAGATCAACTAACTTTGGGCCCAATCAATCTGTCGGCAAGGAGAGATGTGAGGAAAATCAACAAAACAAGAAATCCAAAACCAACTGCTGATGCCAACAACCAGTTCCTCTCTATTGATAACTCTTTAGCTTGAAAGAAGCCACAAAATTTATGTAGAGGCTTCCCAGTAGATCTTAGAAGCAGCAGCATGCCAATGAGCTCTGAAGTTTGTATTCCAAGTATCGACAATGCCTGTGCTAAAAAGAAAGAGTTCTGTCTGACATCAACTTGCAACTTCATTTAGCTCAAAACCCACAAAAAATAGACAAGTTTATCTACAACACAAGTAGAAGCAACACTAGAGAACTTTTTGTATTTTTAATTTCAAATATTACACTAAAAAAGCATATGTTTAGCATCTGCAATTCTCAGCCATGCAACAAACTATCAGCATCTTCCATAAAAAGGCAACCTTAGGTAGCCACAAGAATTTTCCACCATCTTGGATGCAAAAAAAACCTATTATGTCAGTAGAAGATCCTGCTCACCTGCTTACACAGTACATTGGGTGAAAGCACAAACACTTTATCCAGAATAGGCACACTCATCAGGAAGAAATGATCTCATGAACTCAGCTCCATGGTAAAGATATAGAAAGTGAAGATACAGAAACCAACATCTTAAAGACATATGAAAATAGAAGTATAGTTATGACAAAATAAAATCGCAATTCAACTGGGAAAAACTTAAGGACAAAAGATCAGGCAGAAAAATGCAGGAAGACTATGCGAGCTCTGTAGAGTGCTTGTCCACAGAAGGTGACAAATTCACCATTGATAAGAATTAGGGTTACAAGAGTCCATATTCCTTACCGTTGTCAACTAAAATCTCATAAATCTGACTGGCACACCTAGAGGAAATATAGAAGCACTGGGATTTACACAACGAGCAGAGTGGTACATGTTTATAAGATAATGGTACTACCTTGGTGTCAAGGAAAAAACTGAAACCACACAGGAAAACAAGAAGTTCATACGGAGTGGTATGGAATCACCAAGTAGAGTTGTATACCTTTATGGTGGTCTAGAACTGCATGACACACATTTAGCACAAGAAGTTCAAGTGGAGCCCAGTGCATAGGGTATCATTTGATAGCATAACAGTTGTTTTGAGCCATCCATGGGATTTATGTCTTTGTATGGCCAAGACCACGAAAATAGCATCAGTCCTTGCTTCAAAAATATACAGCATAGTTCTTGCATTAAGCTAGGTTTGGATGGTTGATTAGCTGTATGATCCGTCATCAGCCCACAACTCAGAGCAAATCACGCTCTTTGGTCCAACCCAAACTGAGAAGTTCCATTCTGAAAAAGGATATGACCCCATTGCAGATCGGAAAATGGCTATCCCTTATTTCTAAACTTTAATCGGATTGGATGTAAAGAGGTAGAAGGTAGCACTTGAGTGACATAATCTTTTTTCCTTGTGTGCATCTTGGGTGCTACAACTCTGATTAATGAGATATAAAAATTAATACACTATCGTTCATTTCTTTCCTTTGTTCAAACATAGTAATGACAAAAAAGGAGCAAAATCCATTTCATCAGTGAGCAGAGGTTTTCTTTTCTATAAGATCCAAACTAAAGATAACTTTTGTTAGAAGACTACACTTCATTTATGAATATAAATTAATAAGCACACTAGCAAATGACAATTATCATCGGGATCAAGAATTTCGCTCACCTCAATCTGTGGATCAAGAACAGGTTGATGCAACATCTGGGCAACCACAGACAACCCGCCAAAACTAAGAGGAACATGCAAACTGAACACATAAAGAGCCATAGTGCTCCATATAATTCCACTATCACATGGCATGTCCGATTTCAGGACAGAGAAGCCCTGTTATTAGAGTGCACATATAACCCAAATATACCAATTATAATGCCGCCTTCAAAAAAAGTAGTAATAAAAACACACAAAATGGATGCAGAAAATATTCCATTGAAGCAACCCATTCAAGCAAACAATCACAAGGTCTTGGGTTCAAATATGAGGATATCCCATTTGAGCATGTAATGCCTATATTACGACTTGCCAGTACTCTCCTCCCAGCAACATTGTTTAATAAGGAACAAACAGGTAGTTACCTCATGGATATGCATAAATGCATGTTTATGCATCCATCTGCCCATCAATAACATCTTATACACATAGAGATTTGTCTGACGACCCTGACCAATAGAAATATAGTTTTATGTAAATACTTTGCATAGTTTACACTGTTCGATATTTCCTCAGGATCACAAATCAGCACGCCTTTTCGAGACCAGACTACAGTTCTGAATCAACAATTTAACTTGTATGGCCTTTTTAAGTTATTTCTTTTATTCTAACAGCTCCTTTTATAATTTTCTTCCATTGAGATAGGCAACAATTGCATTAAAGAGTTTGCTCCATTTTCTAATCCATTCTTCCACCAGCTTCTAAAAATAAAGGTGTGATGTGATGCGAGCAGCTGGTTCCTAACACATTCACTAAATTTTCATATGCCTAAATAATCAATCCTTTGTGAAATGCAGAAAACAATGCCTAATTTCTGTCAAACTCGCTAGAAACGTTGACAGAAAAAAATTAAACAAAAAAAAAGTATAAATGAACGAAAAAACAGTAGAAGGGAAGAAAAAAAACGCAAAACTAACCAAACCAAATGGAATCAAGAGATTACGTTAACCACCAAAAACTCGAATTTTGGCAGCCGAGAAAACTGGGTCTTGGAGATAAACAATAGTAATTACAATTTTTAGTCACACGCAAAGATAAACTCCCAATCATGTCTTTTCCTCATCTTCTCAAGAACCGAATGGAATCATACAAAAAGCTCATATTTTTTTCAACATAGTGTACAGCAATACATGATGTTCCAAATATAAGCAAACTACAATACTCATATGCGTGTGCGTTGTTGGGTGTGTGTGTGTGTTGGGGGGGGGGGGGGGGGGGTTGGAACCATTTTCAGATGAAATTAGCTAAGGAAGGGTTAGTACCTCAGAGGGTTGATGGGTGTTCTCATTTTTGAGGGAGTGCCACTTGAAAGAAGCCCTGGTGCCGAAGAACTTGGATTCGAATGCCGGTCTGTTAACAGTTGCTCCAATTACATTGGGTCTGAGATATACGAGAGAGCAATGAACGAGTGACATTTTTCTTTTCTTGTTGGACCCTCTTTTCTCTGACACGCTCCCTGTCCAAACGTTGCTCAAACCCTTACCCAGAGTTAAAAAATAAAATAAAATAAAAAGTTTGATTTTATATAAACTTTGCTAATTGAGAAACTCACGAGTAAAACTCAAATTTAAAGTGACGATGCTCAAAAATGTTTAGCCCAAGTTGAGAACGATGATTTTATGATTCAGGAAGATGGTATTGAGAATATATGAATCGACAATGGATTAAACTCTAAAGATGAATTAGAAATAATAAATAAGTAATTTATCAGTTGAAGAGTTTGTCTAATTCATTGCAATGGAGACTCTTACTCTTTGGGAGTATATCTTTTTTGAAAAAGAATGTTACAATGGGTTATTTTTCATACAATAATTTAGTGATATTAGTGTATCCACAGGAAAATTATCAGTCTCCTCTGTGTAGTGTGATAACGTTTTATTTATACGGGTAATCCTTCTAGGGCTTCTTACAACTTCCTCACCCTTTTTTGTTGATTACGTGGTTTCCTCTTCTTTTGTCATTTAATAGTCTCGGTCATGGCGATGTTACTGTGCCCAAAGTTGTTGGGTGGTTACATGAACAAATATTCTCTTAAATAGAGGGGACATGATTGTTAAAGGCTTCAAAACTTGTCTCCCAGTCTCCTAGACACATGGCCTAAAGTAGAGCATTTAGGCCGTGGTGAGTACTAAGCTCTTTTATCTCGGGCTTCTTAATGCTGAGTTTATTATGGGCGAGCAAGGTCATTCTGATTTAGACTTCCTGCTAGGCTTCCTTATTTGAATTATGACCCTTTCCTTGTTATGGAGCAGATGGGCTATTAAGGGATTTATTGGACCGTTTGTGTACACTTTTTGGCCCATTAGATGATTTAGTTTTGGGATAGACAATCCATCCCAAAATCTTATCGTTACCGTAAAGAAAGACTCAAATTTAAACGAGAATATAATATACTCATTAGATCTTTAAATAATAATGAAATCTAATGATTAATAATTTGAATAAATATTTAAGTCTCCCTTAATTTGGATAAAATTTTGAATCTCCCTTGATTTTCATCTCTAACACTTACCTTTTTTAGACTTAAATTTAAATTTAAGTAAAAAACTGTTAAAAACTTTCTTTAACCCAAATTAATATCAAATTAAAGAAAACTCATTTTTTAACTCAAAAATCCTTATCTAAATTTTTAATAGTGAGATTTTATCATCTTTTAAAAATTTAATGGTCATATTTTATTCTATTTTAAATTTGAGTTTTTATTTTTTTAATTTTGAATTTCTCCATTGGATTCCTTTGTATAAAATCAAACTTCTTATTTAAATGTTAATTCAAATTTGAGCCATGATTGAAGATTTTTAAGTCTTTTTTTACCCAAATTTAAATTTAGATTTAAAAAATTACTTAATAGACTTAAAGAGCTGACTTAAAAATTGGACTTGATAAATTATTATTATTAAATATGTAGTAGGTCCCAATAAAAACAAGAAATCACAATTAAATCAATGATAAATATAATGATTACATCGTTAAGTTAAGTTTTTAAATCAATTTTTAAAGTTTGTATAACATTGTTGTTTAAAAAAAAAGTAAGAATTGAAGATGTTTTTATAGAATTCAAATTACATTGATAAATTGTATTAATAGTTTGCTAAGGTTTTGTCACTTGTTACATTTTCGTTTCTAAAGTTTAAATTTTATCAATTCCGTCCTCTATTTTAACACATTGACTCACTTTAGTCTTTACTCCGGATTCCCGTTAAAAAAAAAGCCAATGTGCATGTCACATGTAATTTTTGAGTGATATTTTTGGTATTTTACAACTATTTATTCATTTAAACACAATTATCTTTTATACGCATGCATTAAACTTAAACCTAAAACCCACCTTCTTCTTCCTTTCTTTTCTCCCTTTCGCACACGCAGACATCCTCTCTCTCTCTCTCAAATTTCTTCTTTTTTCTCTTCTCTGTTCGTTGTCTTATAAACAAGGCAAAGCCACGAAACCAAGTTCAACAGAAACAAAACAGAGCTCATGAGGAACATGAAATCCATTTTGAAGGAAGACCCAACTTTCAAGGTATTACTTAATATTCCTTTTGTCATGGAGTTTTCTATTTCTTTAATTTAGCATACACCTTCAACATTGAAGAATAAAAAATGAGCTAATATAAGGTGTTTTGGATTACTATATATTTTCGAAGGTTCTAAATGAGCTAATATATGGTGTTTTGGATTACTATATATTTTCGAAGTTTCTAAATGAAATTGGTGGAGCTAATGTTGGGGTCTTAGTTTGTGGACCTGAATCCATGAAAGATACAGCGGCTTCATCGTACCAGCTTAATTCTCAAGGACTAACTATGGGTGCTCACAGAAGGAAGCCCTACTTCAATTTCCACTCTTTGAATTTCACACTCTAGTCTCACCATTAGCTCCAGTATTCGAGCTTCACTGGCAGATTGCACACAAATGAGAAAGAGACACACAGAGAAGAAATTTGAGAGAGCAATAGGGAGAGAAAGGATGTTGCATGTGTGAGGGAGAGAAAAGAGAAAAAAGAAAGGATGAAGAAAGTGGGTGTTTCGATTCATGTTTAATGTATACATATAAAGTATAATTATGTTTGCATGCATAAATAGTTATAAAATATTAAAAATATCCCTCAAAAGTTACATGTAACATGTACGTGGTACTTTTGGTTTTTTTTTTAATGGGAGTTAGGAGTAAGAATCAAAGTGAATCAATGTGTTAGCATGAAAGACAAAACTAATGAAATTAAAATGTTAAGGACAAAAGTAAAATAAGTGCAAAACTTCCAGGACCATTAGTGCATTTTAAAAAATTACATTTTGAACCAACTATCTTTTTATACTCCTTTGTCCCTTAGGTATAAACTTAATTATCTTTATAGTTTTCTTGTGGCTACAAATCTATACTATCATAAGTAGATAGGATATGGCCTGAGAAGTCTCTCTTCCACAAAGACTAATTTAAGAAATTTTAGAATTATTTAATCAAATTTAACCTAATCGGATTTTATCATGCATCCACATAACAACTTTTTCTCTATATTTGATTGTAACTATCCATTTGAAAAATCCCAATGAATAGTGTTATAACTACCCACATTTGAATTTCTTTTCTCAATTTGTCACACTCAAGATTTTTTTTTTTTTTTTTGTAATTTTGAGGTCGATATAGGGTGGAAATAGATGTGGCAATGAAGGTTGGGATAGAGGTGACGGTGAAAATTTTTTACAAATTTAGTAGTAGTGCTAGTTTTTCTTTAAAGTAATGTTATGTGCATAAAATATATACACCAAAACTTGCACTAAATCACTTGTAACCGTTGAATCAGTGGATTCTATCAGTGACCCAACGATTATAGTTGATTTGATGTAAGTTTTAGTGCACAAATTTGGTACACATAGAATTATCCTTTTCTTTATTCAAAACTCAATCCTTTTGTACTATAACACAAAAATTGATTTTTTTTAGACAAATAAATATAATATAAAAAATATCTAAAAATAGCAACAAAAAAAATGTATTAAAGATTCAATAAATGCATTAAGGGAAAAACATGGAAGAGACAAAATTAGGAAGTTGATTTTTTATTGAGAAGTGTGAATTTAATAAAGAATAATGGTGCATTTTTTTTTTCCCTATTTTTACGACACCCTTCGAGGCAAAGAAAATGTCAGGCATGTAGAGTCAAAATAATTATTTTGACCGAAAAAGCAGCTAACAAAAAAAACGGAACTTGAGTCACGCAAGACAACTATATGCCGCGCGATTTTCATTAAAGGTACATTTGTCATGGAGGCCAATCCAGAATTTATTTCGCAATTTAGACCAATTGCTCTCTGCAATTTTCTTTACAAGGTGATTGCTAAACTGATGGCCAACAAAACGAAAGGCCTGTTGAACGATATTATCTCTCCCCAGCAGGCGACCTTCGTCCCCGAAAGGCGGATTCAGGATTGTATCATCGTGGCAAATGAAGTCCTCCATCACCTGAAGTTGAAAAAGAAAGGTAAAATCCCTGAGATAGCTATAAAAATGGATATAAGCAAGGTATATGACAGAATTGAGTGGGATTTTATAGAAGCTGTAATGATCAAGCTTGGCTTCAATTCCGGATGGGTACAACTCATTACCCGATGCATCTGTACAATGAGTTTTCATATTGTTGTGAATGGTGAAAGGAAGGGTGTAATCTATCCTCAAAGGGGCATTCGCCAAGGGACCCTCTTTCTCCTTACCTGTTCATTCTGGTAGCTGATGTATTTTTTAGGTTGTTACAAAAGGGGGTGGACGAGCATAGATTTTTGGGAGTTAAAGTTCGCAGGAGAAGCCCCGCTGTATCCCACCTCCTGTTCGCAGACAATTCCCTTTTTTTCATCAAGGCAAAGGAGCAGGATATCCACAACTTGTTAAGCATTCTAGGTAAATTTTGTTTGGCATCTGGTCAGTGCATGAATTATCAGAAGTCAGGAATCTTCTTTTCATCAAACACAACAGCGGAGCAACGTGCTCATCTCTGCAGTCTCATGGGGATGCAACCACTTTCCTCTAAGTCCAAGTACTTGGGTCTTCCAGCTTGCTGGGGTAGATCTAAGAGTGAGATATTTGGCTTTTTACTAGAAAGGGTATTGAAAAAGTTGCAGGGTTGGAAAGGTTTAATGTTATCTCAAGGCGGGAAGGAAATTTTGATTAAAGTTGTATTCCAAGCGATCCCTTCATATGCTATGTCAGTCATCTTATTTTTGAAGAATTTTTGTGATAAACTGGATAGGTATGTAAGGAACTTTTGGTGGGGAAATGGAGGGGAGAAGCGAGGGATTAATTGGAAAAAATGGGAGAAGATGGTCGTTTCCAAGGTGTGTGGAGGTATGGGTTTTAGGGACTTTGATTCCTTTAACCAAGCTCTCTTGGCGAAACAAGGATGGAGAATCATCCATAACCCAAATGCCTTTAGGGTTAAATTTCTTAAATCAATCTACTTCCCTGACTGTGATTTCACGCAGGCAAAGAAGGGCTCTAGGCCATCATGGTTCTGGAGTAGTATTTTAAAAGGCAGAGACTTGTTGGATAAAGGGCTGTTATGGCCAGTTGTGGATGGTAATGATGTCAACATCTAGGATGATAGGTGGATTCCTCTTCTCCCTGAGGCAGCTATTTCCTCTACTAGGCCCCAACCAAATGACATTGAAGTGGTTTGCTACCTTATCTCTCAGCCCTTTAAAGTGTGGAATTCTGATTTATTGAGGTCACTTTTTAATGATGCCAAATGTAAAGTTATCTTGGCTATCCCTATTCCAATATCCAGTGGCTGTGATAGACGAGTCTGGCAACCAAGCCCCAATGGGGTATACTCCATCAAATCAGGTTATTCATTCGCTATTAATCTCAAATCCACCAACTTGGATGCTGGATCTTCTTTCTCTCCTCACCCGAAATTCTGGCATGTTTTATGGCACATGATGGCACTTCCAAAGGTTAAATATTTCTGGTGGAAGGTCTGCAATAATGCATTGGCTTCCCGGGAAAATCTATTTAAAAGAAGATGTGTTGACTCCCCATGGTATCAAATTTGCAGAGAAAAGGTTGAGTCTATTGAACACATTTTGTTTGGTTGTGAATGAACTAGAAAAGTGTGGTTTGGCCTTGATTTTGGATTCAGATTTGTCGAGGATTTTAATGTGACAACAGTCCAGTGGGTTTCTTCTATTCTGGATGCTGTCAATGACACTGTAAGATCTCTTGAGATTATGGGGAAAGTCGCGATGACTGCGTGGTATATTTGGAAGGGGAGAAATCTTATGGTGTTCAATCATGAGGAACCAAACTCATTTTCCACAGTTCTAAAAACTAAGCAAATGTGGAGTGATGTTGCTTCAGTTCAACAGCGACCTGAAGGATGTAGGCTGTCGCCTAACATGTCAGTTTTTTCGTCTTCTCAAACTCCTCACGGCCCTAAGATCAGCTATGAGGGGTGCTATTATTGGAGTTGTTCTGCGAGATCCTAATGACTGTTTTATGGATGGAATTAGGAAGATAATCCCAGCGGTATCAAGCCTTTACGCAGAGGCAGCTGCTGTATGAGAAGCCTGCTTATTTGCATCTGTATCCCAGATTCGGTTCTGCACAATTGAGAGTGATAACCAGAAAGTAATCAAGCTCCGCTCAACTGAAGGGGCTCCTCCCTGGAAAATTTCTGCTTTTGTGTAGGTCTTTAGATTTTTTGCTAAACGCCTTGAATTTAGGTTTTCATACAAGCCAAGAGCCCTGACGACTTTATTTGATTCACTTGCTGTGAATTGAGTCAGTTGTCCCTGCTTGAGTTTAAGGTTTTGTTCTCGTCTGATTGAAACTAAAACCTTCCTACCTGAATGAATATTACAATCTTTTGCTGCTCAAAAAAAAAAAAAAAAATCTTGTTTGTCTGGTCTTAAAAGGATAACACACGGTTTATTAGTCTAAAAAGTTATAAATCGATAAACATGTCAAATTAGTGTTTGAATTATATGTTATTTTTTCAGACGGAATTAATATTATATGTCCAATACGTGATTATTCTATTAAAAATTTAATCGTTCATCTATATAAAAACTGAAATGATACGAATTGAATGTTTTAAAGATTAAATTGATAAAATTAATATAATAAAAATTAATTTAACAAAAAAATACATATTTTAAACACTAAAAAGTGCTATCGAAAAAAAAAATCAAAGAGACCATGACCACGCGCAAGCAGTTAAACCCTAAGCCCCCAATTACCTCATTTTCATATTCTAGTCTGTACCTCTGCCATCTCCTCTCTCTCTCTCTCTCTCTCTCTCTCTGATCTGTATGATGAATAGATGACGGTGAGGCTTCTTCAATGGTGTACTGCGTCCAATAACTCATGGTGTGGTTATCAAGGTGTAATGAGGGCAGGCAAGGCTCTCTCATACTGTACGCAAACCCTGACCTCTTATTCAGCTCCGCAGGACACTCTGTACAAGAGGATTTCACCAAATGGAGACCCTAGGGTTTCGATTCTTCCGATACTAGACCAATGGGTCGAAGAAGGGAAACCTGTGAAGATAGATGAGTTAAAGACTATGATCAAGCTGCTCAGGAATTACAGACGGGTTGAACACGCTCTTCAGGTCAGAAACATAAACCCTTCTAATTAAAGATTTGGGACTTAAAGATTTGTTTTTAACCATTGATTTTCTGTTAATCCAATTGGAATAACTAATAATAATTCCATAAACAGGACAAATCAATATTTATTTCAGTTAGCTAGAGATTTCTATAATGGGAAAAAATGATGGTAGGCCCTTTGTAACTAGAATGCATCTTTCTTAAAACTATGGGTGTTTACACATTATTGTGGGTTTTTTGAAGTTCATATACTTTCTTGTCTTTAATCGTTCTCGTTCTTCATTAAGAAGTTTCTTGTTCTTTCCTCAATCAAATGATGACAATCTCTCTTCTTTTCCATGCCTAACCATTTACTAATTATACTTTAAAAGTTATGTTAGACAATCTATTACCATATATCTATCTCTATGTTAAAAGAATCAATTTTTGGTTTAATTAACTAAAAATAAAATGTTGCATCCAATCAATTTTTCAACACTTGGACTTAAGTAACAAATTTGAACTCTTGCTACTTCTGCCCGCCCACATTGGTAGGCAATGACCAACAAATAGTTTTTGATCAAATTTTAGACTATGAATATTCCACTTCTCCATCATACTCGAACCTACCATGCAGTTATGCAATTATAGTTGGGAAGGAAATTACATGCATGAGCCCTCGATGTAGTAATTATAATTATAAGAAGTTAGTGCTTTATGATAAGTCTCTCGTATGTGTAATCCTCTAGTGTGCACTTTTAAATTAATGAATCACAATAGTCAATAATCATTTGTCAAATTTCCCAACTTTTACTAATTACATGTCTGCATGTTTATTTTTTGTTGTAGAATGACATAAAGAGGTGTTGGACAGGTCACCAAAAGAGTGTTGGACACTTTTTCTGGTTTAATCTGCAAATTGTAAGTTGGTAATAACTTTTGGAAAGATATTACCTCATGTGAGGATAAAGTTAACTTGGTGAGGAAGAAGGGACTTGGGCATCTTTAGAGAGAAAAAAATGAAGAAATTTGAGTGATTGCAACAATTACACAATTTACAATATAATTAAGAATACTATAATAAATATGGTGACTCGAAAAAAATACATCCATGCAGTCTGAAGAAGGTAAAAGGATGAGAATAATGATGTCAATTTTCAGTTTGCAGATAGGGGTGATAATGGAGGTGAGCACAACAATCTTGACCATTCTCTGGCTCAGCTTAGGTCTTTAAGAAGATGTTTAGATTCGGCTCTAGCTCAATCCTCGAGCCTTGTTTTTAGCTCAAGCTTGACTAGAGTGAGAAATACCAAGCTCAAGCTCAACTCGTTTTCCCATAACTCAAATTTGAGCTTAGGCTCGGGTTCAAGCTAGTTGAATGCAAGCAATTCCAAAAAAGAAAACTCTTACATTCATCAGGATTTTAACCTTTTGTGGAACATTGTTTGAGAGATGAAATAGAGAGGTTTAAGGTTTCAAAGGTTAGGATATCCAATAGTGTGTGTGCGAGAGAGAGATGAAGAGTGTGTGTTCTTGGTTGCACATATTATTTGGGTCTGGGAGTTGATGATGGTGGTGTTTGAGTTTTGGTCGAGGAGTGAGATTGTGGGAGGAGACATTGGTGGTGGAGGGCTTTCGCAAAGAGGGAGAGAGAGAGAGAGAGAAAGAAATTGGGGCATCAAAGAGGGGTTTGAGTACTGAGGGGCCGAAGGGTTTTGGGGCAAAAAGAAATAATGGATTAGTCTGAAGTGTGTGGCTGTGCTTTTTTGGGGGAAAAATGAATTTCTAAAAAGGTGAAGAATTAGATTTCAGGGAGCAGTCTTCTAGAACTAGGATATTTAGGGGAAAAAACGAGATTTGTTCAAACTTGCGAATAGCTCAAACTCGGGTATGCTTAAAAACAAGCCTAAAAATGTGTCCAAATTCGGTTCATTTTATGAAATAGATGAGCCAAAGCGAGCCAGCTCAAAGCTAAAAAAGGGCTGAACTCGAGCTACTAGGATCATTTAACAGCCTTATTTGCAGTGGCCCATTGAAAACCACCAGTGGTATGCTTAGTGGGAAATGCATTGTAAAAAATAAGCACGACATTTAAGTTTAGAGGTTTATGCAGTAATCGAAGTCTTAAACCCTGCTCTAATGCATATGTACAATTATATTACCCACTGGTCTGTTACATTATTCACTTACGTTTTTTGCATTATTATTCTCTAATTCGATGCTGCAAAATTTGTACATTATTATTGTTGTATGTCATCTAATGGAGGTTTCTACTCAACTCCGCATTCATTCATTTTCATCTTTGAGGCTTAATTTATACTTCTAACATGTGTGACCCCTCACCATCCTTAAGCTTCATTAATAACACGATTCTCCACCTCAGATGTTTAGTGTTTGATTATTTTCATCAATCAAGTCGCGAGTTCCCAATTCTTGAGAGTACCTGGGATATGATTATTTGCTCGAGTTTTCTTATTCCTTTGAAAGTTAACTTATAATCTTTAGATTGTTTTCTCCTTAATTGTGTTTCTCATTCTGATTCAGTTGTCCGAATGGATGAGTGAGAGAAGATACCTTGATCATTCACCTGGATATGTTGCAGTTCGTTTGGACTTGATCTGCAGAGTTCATGGCCTAGAAGAAGCAGAGAAGTATTTTGATAACATCCCAAATACTTTGAAAACCTTCAAGGTTTATGGTGCTCTATTGAACTGCTATGCATATAGTAAATCTCTGGAGAGAGCAGAGGCAATCATGCAGAAGATGAGGGAAATGGGTTTTATGAAGACACTATCTTATAATGTTATGCTAAACCTCTATTCTAAGATGGGAAAGCATGAGAAGCTAGACACCCTCATTCAGGAGATGGAAGAGAAGGGCATCAGTCTTGACAACGCTACGTTCTACATCCGCTTAAATTCGTATTCTGCTGTTTCTGACATGGAGGGCATGGAGAAGCTTCTTCTGAAGATGGAAGCCAATCCTCTAATCACCATGGATTGGAATGCATATATTGTTGTCGCAAATGGGTATTTGAAAGGTGGCCTGGTAGAGAAAGCTTTTGAAATGCTGAAGAAAGCGGAGAAACATATCAGAGAAGGAAGAAGAGGGTTTTCTTATGAAATTCTCCTCACCATGTATGCTAGTATAGCTAAAAAAGACGAGTTGTATCGTGTATGGAATCTGTACAAAATCAAGGGGAAAATATTGAACAGTGGTTATTTCTACATGATAAGTTCATTAATCAAGTTGGATGACGTTGATGGAGCTGAGAAGATTTTCAAGGAGTGGGAATCTGTGAATGCATCCTTCGACTTCAGAATTTTGAACTTGCTAATCAATGCCTATGGAAGGCAGGGCCTCTTGGGTAAGGCCGAAGCAATTGTAAGCAGAGCTATAGAGAATGGGAAAGAGCCTCCTGCAAGCACATGGGATTGTCTGGCTTCCATATACTATAAAGATAAACAGATGCAGAAGGCAGTGGATACAATGAAAAAGGCAGTCTTGGCTGATCAGTATGGCTGGAAACTAAACCGTGTTGTTTTGAAAGGATGTCTGCGACACTTGAAGAAGAAAGGAGATGTTGAAGGAACAGAGAAGTTTGTAAGGTTACTTAGGGAACATGGACATTTCTCACAACTATCTCTCACTGCTCCAGATGGTATTGAAAATGGAAGTTCTGGATTTCGTGCATTAAACGAGTTGGAGGGGGACGATGTGGAACTGCATGGAGAAACGAAAATGACAATGGGGATAGAGTACGCGAACAATGGTCCGGCAGGCTACAAGGCCCACCGCTTGACCAGGAGGTGAGTCTAGTCAGGCAAGGCCCAATGGGCCTCTGGGCTATTGTTTTTTTCAGAAGAGACATACGTTGGGTTTTTTGGGTGGGGATACATTTGTGGATAATTTTGAAGGCGGTACAAAAATTTGAATTTATTCGAGTTAAAGGGAAACTTATTTGGCTCTAAGTGTTTTTTTTTTTAAAAAAATGACTAAAAGGTCATTTATTACTCTACTACTCTTTCTTTCATTCTCTCTCTCCATTAATTATTTCTCACTCTTTCTTCCCTGTTTTCTCTCTATCTATTTCTCTCTTCCTCTCACATTGATAATTTATTTTTTTAAATATGTAAAGATTTGATTTAGTTTGTTCATCTGTTCCCTTATTTTTTCTCTCTCACTCCCCCTCCCCTTATTTCCTTATTCTCTCTCCTTATATCAATGTTACAATAAAACAATTACACTAATCAGTTACACTAATTAATTACAATTACCTTATAATACACAAAACAATTACTCTTAAGTTTTAATAAATCAAACAGTTATACTAAACAATTATATGAAATTATAACACCAATTTAATTTGTTATTAAGTTATTTACATAAATTAATAAGTCATACCATTTACTATCACGAGGTGGTTATACCAATTATATACACTAAATTGAATTTATCATTACACAAAAGACTACTAAATTTGGTTTATATAATTGATGTAACGATGTCGCGATACTAATGATATAACTATTTAGTTTATATAAACAATTGAATAACAAATTAGGTAGGTATCATAATTTTGTATAATTGTTTAATGTAACTGTTTGATTTATTAGAACGCGTGGGTAACTGTTTGGTGTATCATAAGACAATTATAACTAATTAGTGTAATTGTGTTGTTGTAATGTTGATATAAATAGAGTGAGAATATAGACATAGAGAAAAGGTTAGATAAAATAAGGGAGAGAGAGTTGAAAAAACAAATCAAATTTTAACATATTTCAAAAGAAAATAAATTTACAATGATAGATAGAGAGAAAATAGGAGAGAGATGGAGAAAGTAACCAGGGGAGAGAGAGAGAGATGGAGAGAAAATAGGGGAGAGATAGTGTGAGGGTCTAATAAAATTTTTACATATTTGATTAGTTATATAACTGTCAGTCAAGAATGTATAATTTAAGGGAGGATATTTAAGTAAAAAAATTTTGATTTCATTTGAATATTATACCTAAACACAATATGATTTATTAAAATTGAATTTAATAGAATAAACTTTTTATCCATACATTTTTTCTCAAATAAGTCTAAAAAATTGTACTTATAGCCAAAAAAATCCTACATATTTTTTAGAGTTATTTGAGAGGAAAAGTATGGATAAATTGTTTACTCTATTAAGTTCAATTTTAATAAAATACCTTATGATTAGGTGCAAAATTTAAATGACCTTTTATTTATTTTACTTACTTACCCTTTCTTAGATTATGCATAATTGATTGATAGTTTATATATTTAATTGTTTGCTTTCGAAGTCAATTTTCTTAATCAATTATAGATTTCTCTAAAAGGGGAATTAAAAATTTTGATCACAATTACCGACCTGAAGATAAGTTTTTACACCAAAAAGTTACCAGACAGTTACACAAAATAGTTAATCATTTAGAAATAATCAGTTACACAAATAAAGTTACTAAAGAATTATAATAAATATGTAATAAAAGAGTTGTACTAAACAGTTAATTATCTACAAATAAATAGTTATATCTGTATAATTGTTTAATAATTGAATTTTAAGATTTTTCTATTTCAAATACATGCATTCATCATAAAAGATATTAGATTTTATTATTTTTATTTCACAAAACATGGGTTTAGATTTTTGCTGCTTGATTCTTTATTGGAGCTGAGATTGTCATTTGACATCCAAATGGGGTATGATCTTCTTTCTTTTTAAATAATGGCTTTTTGGTCATTTTCTTAAAAAACGCACTTTTGCTCAAATAACTTTTCTTGTTGTAGTTTAATTGTTTGGATGTGGGTATAATTTTTTAGACTTATTTGAGAGAAAGTGTATGGATAAGTTTTTTTTTTGGTAAGTGTGTATGGATAAGTTGTTTACTCTATTAAGTTCAATTTTAATAAATATCTTACGATTAGGTATAAAATTCAAATGATATTTTATTTATTTTACTTATTTGCCCTTCTTTAAATTATGTAGAATTTTTATTCTTTCACTCTCTCTCATCCTATTTCTCACACCTCTCTCTCTCTCTTTCTCACACACACACACACATTTTGTCTTCTATTTTCTCTCTATCTATTTTTCTCTCTTCATTACTTTCTATATTTCCCCTATTTTCTCTCTCTCCCTTATTTTTCTTATCGTTACTTTATCTCTTTATTCTCTCTATATTAACGTTATAACAACACAGTTACATTAATCAGTTATAATTGTCTATAAATACACTAAACAGTTATTTATGTGTTATGATAAATCAGACAATTAACCAAATAATTACACAAAATTACGACACAAACTTAATTGGTCATTCAGTTGTTTACATAAAATCAAAGACTTACACTATTTAGTATCATGACATAGTTACATTAATTATATATACCAAATTTGGTACAATGGTAAAATCTTTTGTGTAATTATAAAACTCAATTTAATGTATATAATTGGTGTAACCATGTCATGATATTAAATGATGTAACTCTTTGGTTTATATAAACAATTGAATGACAAATTGTATTGATGTCGTAATTTCATGTAATTATTTGGTGTAATTGTTTAGTTTATTAGAACACATGAGTAACTGTTTAGTGTATTATAGGACAATTATAACTGATTGGTATAATTGTGTTGTTGTAATTTTGATATAATGAGAGAGAGATAGAGAGAAAGAATAACGATGAGAAAAAATAAGGGAAGAGAGAGTGAGATAAAAAAAAAGAGAAAGAAAAAAGAAAATAGGGGAGAAATGAAAAAATTAAATCAAATATTTACATATTTAAAAAAAATTATCAATGAGAAAGAGAGAGAGACAGAGAGATAGATAGTGAGAGAAATAGAGAGAAAATAGGGAAAATAGAGTAATGGAGACAAAGGGAGAGAGAAGAGAGTAATGGAGTAATGAATGATTTTTTAATATTTTTTCAAAAAAATGCACTTAGGGGCTGTAGAGGCAAAAAATTATACTTCTGAATGTGAATTTGTAATATGACTTCTGGGAATCAAATCTGAACAATCTCCTCAACTCTTTCCTACAAAACGAACAAATTGTTCAAGATCGAAGTGCTTTGATCGAAGACACGCCGATGCTTAAGTCAGTAATGGAACAAAAATAATTGTACTAAGACTAGGAGAATTCAATGTAGCTTTCACCTTGGTCTCTTTTGCTTTTTATAGATCCTTATCCCCTTAGAGTTTCCATGAATTTTGGTTCAAGGTGGCACACCTTCCTTTAATTCAGTAGTTGAGTTTGGGAAGTTACTGATACTTCTCCAATAATTTCTCCTGATATCTACAATTTCGTTGATTCGTTTATCTGATTGCCTAAATTATAGGTGTATCTTTATCCTTCTGTCTATCTAAAACAGCTCGGACATATCACATGCCGAGCATACCTGATTTAAGCCGAACAAATTAAGGAACTTGGTTTGACACAAACCTATTTCCTTGATTGCCATGCTAAATACTTTACCGGACTCGGCATGGTACAAGCCGAGCTCCTTCATTGCTTAACCGAACAGACTGATGAGTTTGGTTATAAAAAGAACCAATATATTGCTGAACCTTTAATTAGCTCGGCTCGGTTGGAAAGCTCTTAATAGACTATCCTTCATCGCGTGGCCTGTCTTATCAACATCACGTGAGTACATTTAATGCTGTGTCACGTGTAATTATGAGATTTAACCCCTTTATTTGCCCCCAGAAAACGTCTGACAAACGTTTTTCGGCTGTCAGCCGTTTTCTTATCGATTCATCATCACTTGTACTTTGTATCCTGTCTTTTCGTTTTGGCAGCACATTCAGAGCATTTAAATGTTGCCCTTTAAAATTCCTTCCTCTTCATAAACTGTCTCTCTCTCTTCGCATTTTATTCACTTTGCTTTCTGCTTTCACACTCCAATTATCTCTTATGTGCTTCGTCTCCCTCAAGTTTGCATCATCTCCTCTTTAATGGCTCCTCTTACTCCATCAGAAGTTCCTGCTTTCAAAGTCAAGTATAAAATTCCAGACGATGTCAAAGTTAAAGTTGCAGGGAAAGATGAGCCACTAATTGGGACCAGAGAGAGAATACACATCCCCACTCGAGCCATTACTGAGGGTGGAATCCATTTTCCCCTCGATCCATTTTTTCTCTGGGTTCTTTCTACCGCTAAACTCTGTCCCCTCTAATTCTACCTCAATTTCTTTAGGATAGTCATGGGGGTGTCTACTTTAAACGAAATCTTAGGTCTGAGTCTAGGTTTATGGGACATCCTGTATTGCTATATCATCAAAGCTACTGGAGACAACTATTATCTTTCGGTGAAGAAGAAGGATCGTTATCTAGTTGCCCATCTTCCCGATTCGAACAAAGGTCATGAAAATGACATTGTGTTCGTTTCTGGGAACTAGGAGTACCCTGATGGTGTTTCACCCTTTTATCGCTGCCCCTATGAAGAAGGCGCACCAGGTATTTGAACCTTCTTTTTCCCCAAAAATACTTGTTGTTCTTCCTTTTCTTGTATCTGATATATCAATTGTGCAAGAGAGATGGTAAAAGGAAAAATCCACGAAGATTATGTTAAGTTGGACCAACTCCAAAAGGTTTGGGATTTCAACGAGTCCTTGTTCTGCCGTGCTGCGCATATGCTGCTCGGGTACATACCGAACTATACGTCTTTTATTGTTGTGCCGAACCGACCTAATGCGATGCTAGCAGCAGATCGGGAGGCAATACAATCTGTTAGAGAGAAGACACCCCGAGGAAAAAAGAGACCTCTAGTAGCCTCTGGATGAAGGTCTGTAAGGAATTTTTTAGACTTTTTGTCAATAGTTGAGCCGACTCTTCCCTTCGAACTGACTCCACCTGCCTCAACTGCTCCGATCTCTGTTCTTGACGAACCGTTTGTCGAGGCCCTTCCCGAGGTGCTTCTTTCTAATGACGTTGGCTTGCCTTCGGATGATCAAGCGGATTTGGCCCGAGTTGCTGAAACTTCTGTTCGTGTTGAAACGGATCCTCCAGAACCTATCCTTTCCCCTGTTC